TTCTTGTGTGCTTTGGTTTTCTGAACCATCGTCTGCGTGTTTAGTATCTGGTGCAAAAACTGCTGTCAAAATACTTTGCATTTGGTACATATCCTACATATCGTCTTGACCGAACGAATGAGACGTAACTGTTTGTTATACTGTATGTACTCATATTCTTCATTTATAGCTTCATGAACGATAGCAGCTTGTTGTGTTTCTGTCGATTGCATTAGTCCGATAGCTTACAATTTATCACTTTAGCATACAAATATAAAAAAAACTATTGTTACAAAAAACTAGCGTTAATTTTGTTCTATCTTGTATAAAAGATATGATTTCAGGGATTTTTTTGGACGAAGTGTTCAAGTTCACTTTGGGTAAAAAAAATAACAGTTATATAATGAAATTTGGTCATATTTTTTTACGATTTTAGGGATTTTTTTTGACGAAGTTGTCAAAGTCAGCTGTTGGTAAAAAAATAACAAGTACTACAATATAATGAAATGTTTGAGTCATTTTTTTACGATCTTTGGGATTTTTTTTGAGAAGTGTCAAAGTTTCACTTGGTAAAAAAAATCAACAGTATTATATTAATGAAATTTGGTATTTTTTTCACGATTTCAGGGATTTTTTGACGAAGTGTCAAAAGTTCTCTTCGTCAAATTTATTAAAAATAAGCGTTATTTTTTTTATTTTGTATAAAGACCAAAAATTAAACGCTTTACATTATTTTTCAAGCAACTTCTCAAATAATTGTTATAGCCTTAATCTATCTCAATCTACTTCAAACGTTTCTTTACCTTTTATGGGAGCACCATACATTTTTCTCAAACTTTTCAGTATTCTGTTTCTGCAGCTCCTCATATCATTCAGCAAACACAACCTTGACTCTATTGACTGCTACTGTCATATCTTTGAGTTATATTATATGTTCTTCCTATCTTAATATCTTTTTGTGTTGAAGTCCTTTCGGTTTTCTGAACGATGTAAAGTAAGCCTTACTGCAACGTTCCGTTATCGCGAACCAATATGTTATGAAGTTTATTCCAACAACTGGTGTCTAACCATAACAAAACTATTGGTATAAGACTTTGTCGATAGATTGCTGTATTCCATAGAATCTTACCGATATTATAAGCTCAGGATTTCTTTGTCAAAATTTTCTGAGTAGAAGATTTCTAACCCGTCCTTCGCGTTCTCTTTCCAGTTGGAGATAAAATGTCTGACAAAGAATATTGTTTGTATTTCTTGAGATATCTTTACGTTATAAATCACCTATTCTAAAACCAATTTTTGGTGTCATTGATCTATTCTTTTTAACTGTTTCAAACTCAGTGTTTGTCATTTCTTCTTTAAGTCTCAGCATAGTCGTTTCGCATACGTTCTACTCTCTTTGACGGAGATGTTAAAGAACAACTACTCACTCTCTCACTTGCCGTTTACATTTTGAACATTGCGGGTTCATTTTGCTGTTATCGAACCTACCTGCTAGAACAACTAAAGCGTCAATTGCTCTCTTCATTCTCAAAAGCTGACTGGTTTTATTTGTTGTTCCATACCTTACATCTTTTATCTTATATCTCTTTATCTTGCCATACACATTCAGCAACTAACGAAAACAAAGTTGTCGTAGCGTCTTAAATTCTTCAGATTTATATATGTCCAGAGAACATTCTTATATACCATTCGCAATCTTTGGTCCATAACCTTATCGGTTGCAATGAAATCCTAGAAACTCATTAGTTTTACTATCTCT